ATCTGTAATACAGATAATTTTTTACAAAGACAGCAAAGAATCATATTTGGTTCAACATTCAACAATTAAGTTGTTAAGTTTTTAAATCTATATAAAGAGCTTCAAAAAAAATAAAGATTAAAAAAAAAAAAGCTTGGGTTCTAGTCCAATAGATTAGGTTGTATTTAGTTTCACTATTTCTTAGCTGACCTCACCTGGAAAATGTGAGAAACCATGACTCATGGGTAAAACATCTCAAACAATCCTTGGCATATAGTCCTCCATTGGAGTGGCAGGAGCACAGGTTTGGACAAGCAAAGGTTCTAGCCCTGGCTCTGGGAATCAGTGTGCAAGTGATTGCAACTCTTAGTGCCTCAGCCTCTTCGTATACAAAACATAGATAATGGGATCTCCCTCTTAGGGTCACTGTGAGAATTTCAATGTAAAAGGGCCCAATAAATAAAGTACTCAACACACAGTAGGTGCTCAATAAATGGCAGTCCCATTCTAACAAGCCTGACTCAGCAATGTCTCCCTCATCACAGCAGGACTAGACGCTCTAATAGTCAGCCTATTAGACGCTCATTTGTAACCTTAGGGCTTCTCCCATGCTCTCCCCAGACTTAAGGACATCTCACAAAGGCCGGCCTACTCACAATCATTCAACATTATAAACATTTTTATAACATGCATTATGAGCTGAACAGTGACAAAAAGTTTTAAGAAATGTCTTCTTTGAGACACTCCTAGACCAGTAATAAAGATACAAAAACATACTATGGATACAAGATAGGAGAAAAATGTTAATGTGTAGCAAGTGCCTACTGTGTGCCGGAGGAGAAGAGCAATTCACTGAGGGGAATCAAGGAATGCCTCATGGATGTGGGCATTGAAGAATAAGGGTAAGAGGGGAGGTCAGGCCCAGGACCTTTTCAGAACAGCCAGGTATACAAATCTACCGACCCATATTGAGGGGACCAAATGACAAGAGGTGCCTCTTGCCTCCTTTCCAATTCTAAGAAACTGGAGCGGAACCCCAAGCATTAGCCCTCTAAGCCAGTCAGTGGTTCTCAAGAGGTTGGTAGGGGGAGTCATTTTGCAACCCCCAGGGGGCATTTAGCAATGTCCAGAGACATTCTTTGTTGTCCCGTCTGGGGATGCTGGGGTGCTACTGTCATCCAGAGGGTAGAAGCCAAGGATACCACTAAAGAGCCTGAAATGCACAGGGCCAACCCCACAGCAAAGAATCACCTCACTGGAAATGTCAACAGTGCAGCTGTTGAGAAACCCTGCTCTCCACTGAGAGCCAAACAGGCAAGACTCCAAGGGAGGTCCACAGTTAGAGCTGCTTCAATAAAGGCAGCCACCTCAGACTAGTGAATGATTTAGCTAGAGCAACTCCAGGCTGGAGTAGCACAGCAGGATTCCAAACAAACTCTTGAGAGGGTAGATGGGTGAAACACACCCGTGTATCATTTAGAAATGGGAAGTTAAGATATGAAATAGTGGCCTGACCTGACCACCCTTTCTTTTTTCCCCGTTTTATTGAAATATAACTGACATAACATGTTACTCATTTCAGGTGTACAATAAAATGATTCCATATTTGTACATATTGCAAAATGACCACCACAGTAAGTTTAGCTGACATCCATCACCTCGCATGATTACAATTTTTTTGTTGTGATGAGAACGTTTGAGATCTACTCTCTTAGCAACTTTTAAATATACAATACAGTATTGTTAACTACTGACGCCACCCAGCCACCCAAGTCGCTCGATAACATCTACCGGTCTGGTCTCATTTCCGGCACAGCGCTTATCGCAGCTGCAAAAGATTCTATTTTCTCTTTCTCGATTACGTAACTTTCCTGGGAGCATGGCTTATTCTATTCTGCGCTATTTCCGCAGCATCTTGATAACTCCTTATAAAACAGTAAGCACTCGGTTAATTTGGTGAGCTTGAATAAGTTCTGACTTTTTAGCGGTTTCAGTGCTAGCACAGGGGCGAGAACGAGGCATATCCACCTCTGAGCTGGGGAGGGCGGCCGGGGATGGAGACCCCAAGCACTCTGGAGACGCCAGCGCTGGGTCTCAAATTCAAAATTGCCCGCCTCCGAAAGAGAGCACACAAAAAAAGGGGGGCGAAATCGGAGCGTACCAATGTGAGGCGGGACGGGTTAAATGTACCGCTTGGGACCGGAGGCCACGGGAGGGGTACCAGCAGTCCCACACCTTCCAGAGGGTTGATACAAGGAGGGGATCCAGCTGCCAGCGGACTTGGACCACTTTTGGCGGGAGGGGGGCAGAGGAAAGGGGAACATACCGGGCGGAGCGTACCACTCGGGCTGGAGTGGGGGGCGCGTAAAGAGCGGGCAACTGACACCTAGGGAAGAGGTTCAAGTCAGAGCCCCCGAGCCGGGACAGCGGCTTTGGGCCGTACCGCCGAAGGAGGGGCGAGGAACCTGTTACAATTCGCGACATTTCAGGTGGCATGGGCTGGGTTGTACTATGATACTGGAGAGGGGTCCAGGGCGGGATGTGCGCAGGGCCGCAGCAGGGTAATCTCACCAGAGCCATTGGGTCCGATGATGGCGGTAAACCTCTGAAATGGTCCGATAATCTGTCGCCCCTTGTACGACTTAAAGTTCTCAATCTCAATCAGTTTCAGGAAACCCATGACGGCGGCGGCGCCGGCGGCGGTACGAATGGCCGCGCCGTACGCCGGGGACTGGAGTAGCCTGCGCGGGAAACACCGCGGTGCAAGCCGGGCGGAGAGCAAACCTCGCGAGCATGAGTCCAGGCCAAACGGGATTTCCGGCTTCCGGCGCTGGCCGGAACCGGGGAGGAGGGCTTTCCGGCTGGCGTGAAAGTTTTGTTGACCCGTTGCCAGGGTACGAGCTTACGACAAGCGTTTAGGGCCCGCCCCCTTCCTTGTTGCTCGGCAACAGAGTCGCCGCAAACAGACCACATCGCATCGGAGACAGCAGACGCGAGGGATCGCAAGTCAAACTTGCTGAGACGAGTCAGAAATCACAGTAGGGTTATGCCCTCCGGGGCAGGAGGAAGGTGGGAAATCGGCTGTGGCTGCCGCCTGCCCGGTTACAAAGCTCAAACAAGGACAGGGTCGGGAAGGACTGTACGGGAAGGAGGGGCCAGCGGGAGGATTCGGTGTTCTGTGAACTCAGACCTTGCGGTGGGCGGAGGCGGAAGGGGATGAAGTTCGAGGTTGGACGAGGTGTGAAGGGAAATGGGGTGTAAAGGGAGATAAGGGTACTCAAGCGACAGGGATACGGGCTGTCCAGAGGTTCAACCCTATCCCATCTCTCTCCCCCGCGCCCCCTGGGTTCTTCCAAGCAGAGTTCACAGACTGACGCTGTAGCCCAAGAGCAGACGTGGATCTGAGCCACTTGTTGGCACCTGAAGCAGGACCCCAACTAGGAGCTTCAAAGTTGGGAGTCCTTGCTGAAAAAGGTATTTTGTATGAACCCTTTATCCTTCTCTTCTCCCCACTTCCTATCTTCCTCTTCATGACTCATCTCTATCCTTTGCCCTCCTCTCCATCCCCTTCTGCCCCATCCTTTGCTTCCCCCTTCTTTCGCTGCCCCCGCAACTCTACCCTCTCCTTTCCCCCTCTCTATTCCCTATCTTTTATATCCCTCTCTTCCATCCCTTCATCTTCCTATCACCTTAAACCTACTCATTACTAAGGCCATGGCCTTAGCAGTCCAAGAAGCTTAAAATATCTATGGAATCTTCCCTTTAGTAACTCATTCCATATGTCACCACAATGTAAGTATTGTGGTGACATATGGAATGAGTAGGCTGGGGTTAGTCCTGAGGCTGAGAAGAGTCTTAGTCTTAGGACAGGTGCAAGAAAGTGAGAAAGTTTGGTTGACAGAATCTAGCAGAGGAGCCATAAATGAAGTTCAACTTGGATAAACAGTCATCATCAGGCTGAGGGAATAAAATGATCAAAGGACAGCAATATGACAGGAAATGGAGCTTGGGGGCAAATCAAATTGAATCCCTACCTCTCATACCATATACAAAATATAATTCCAAATAGGTTAAAAACTTAAATGAGAAAGGCAAAACTTTAGAAATTTTAGAAGAATATATGGGAGAATATCTTTATGGCCTCAGGGGATTTCTTAAATAATAAAAACTTTAAATAATAATAATAAAATGAAAAGACCAGCCACAAATTAGAGATGTTTGCCACATATAAATTAACAAATGATTGTTGTATAGAATACATAAGGAACTAATAAAATTAATAAGAAAAGAGCAAACAACCTGATTATTTAAAAAATGAGCCCTGACCGATTGGGCTCAGTGCATAGAGTGTCAGTCTGCAGACTGAAGGGTCCCAGGTTCCATTTCTGTCAAGGGCACATGCTTGGGTTGAGGGCTTGTAAAGTTTAAAAAAATGAAAAAACGAACAAAAGCTGTGAATGGGCACTTCAGAGAAGAGTAAACAAAAATGACCAAAATACACATGAAAAGATGTACAACCTCATTAGCAATAAGGAAAATTCCAATCAAAATCAATTCTAATTTTATAAGCACAAATGGGCAAAAATTATAAAGCCTGCAATACCAAGTGTTGGTGAAGATGTGGAGTGCCTACGTTTTTATACACTGTAGTTTTTTGGTTTTTTAATTATTCCAGAAAGGAAGGGAGAGAGAGAAAGAGAGAGAGAGAAGGAAAGAAACAACAACGATGAGAGAGAATCATTGATCAGTTGCCTTCTGCACACCCCACACTGGGATAGAGCCCAAAACCTGGGTATGTGCCCTGACTGGGAATGGAACCATGACCTCCTGGTTCATAGGTTGACGCTCAACCACTGAGCCACACCGACCAGGCTACACTGTAGTTTTTATACACTGTTGGTACAATCTCCTCGGAAAACAAGTTAGCATTATCTTGAAAGTTAAATATACTTTAAGTGCTGGGATCCAGCACTTCCACTTCTAGGTATATGCTACAGAAACTTTCCCACTTGTATATATAAGTCTCTTGCAATCTACAGATTCCTCCGCCCTCTTTTTCTCTTGCAACTAAAAATAAATAAACTGGGTTATTTGGGCCACAGAGTCCTTGTCTTTATTGAAACCACTACAATCAGGCTTTCATCCCCACAAGTCTACCAAAAATGTTCTTGTCATGGTCATCAGCAATCCTCATATTATTAAGTACACACAGTTCTCAGTTCTCCTCTTAACCCATTATCAGCCATTCATTCTCTCCTCCCAAAAGCACTTTCTTCACTTGGTTTCTCTGACACCACACTCCTGGGTTTTCTTCCACCTCACTGGCCATTCCTCCTTAGCCTACAGTGCTGGCTCCTCTTCTCCCTGTCTCCCCTAGGACATTCTTATCCATCTACACTCACTACTCCCTTAGAGGCCTCCTATTGCCTTATAGCTGTAGATTCCCTTATATCAGTCAGGATAAGCTAAATTATGCTGGGGTTACAAACAACCCCAAAATCTCAAAAGCTTATAAAGACCAACATTTATTGAGTGTTGACCTATGAACCAGGAGGTCACGGTTCAATTGCCAGTCAGGGCATATGCCCGGGTTGTGGGCTCAATCCCCAATAGGGGGAGCATGCAGGAGGCAGCCGATCAATGATTCTCTCTCATCATTGATATTTCTATATCTCTCTCCCTCTCCCTTGCTCTCTGAAATCATTTAAAAAAATTTTAAAAAACAAAAAAATTATTTCTCACTCCTGCTTCTTGGGTTGGCTGCATCTCTGCTCTATGTCACTACTCCAGGACCCAGGCTGAAGGAGCAGCCCTTACCAGTCTCATAGCAGAGAGTGAAGAGAAAAAGTGGCTATCACCTAATGGCTCTTAGTTCTGCTTGGCAATGACATATGTCAATTCTCTCACTGGAAAGGGCAAAGCAAATCATGTGGCTAAACTTGAGGGCAATGAGATAAAGATGTATAATCCTTCTGTAGGCCCAAATCCTTGAAGTTATTCTTTTTTAAAATATGTTTTTATTGGTTTTAGAGAGAGAGAGAGGAAGAGAGATGGGGAGAGAGACATTAATTGCCTACTTCATGCCCCCTACTAGGCACCGAACCCAAAACCCAGGCATGTGCCCTGACCAGGAATCGAACCAGCGACCTCTTGGTGCATAGGACGACGCTCAGTCCACTGAGCAATACCAGCCAGGCTTGAAGTTATTCTTGACACTGCTCTCACACCTCACATCCAATCCATCAGAAAGTCTTATCAGTTCTGCCTTCAGAATATATCCAGAATGTGACCACTTCTCACCACCTCTGCTATTCCCAACCTGGTGTGAGTCACCATCATCTCTTGCCTAGACGACTGCTATAGCCTCCTGTCTGGTCTTCTGGCTTGTAGCCATGCCTCCCCTAATCCCAGTCTATTGTTAACACAGCAACCAGAGTTGTCCTTTAAAAATCAAAAGCAAAACATATCACTTCCACTGCTCAAATCCCTCCCATGGCTGCCTGTTTCAGAGTGAAAGCCACAGCCTTCCAATGGTCTGCAAAGTCCTACATGCTCTAGCCCCTGCATTATCTCTCTAATGACATTTCCTACCTACCTCTCCTTTGCTTACACAGTTGCCTCCTGCTGTTCCCTTGAATGTGTGTCCATCTTTTTTTAAGTATATTTTTTTATTGATTTCAGAGAGGAAAGGGAGAGGGAGAGAGAGATGGAAACATCCATGATGAGAGAGAATCATTGATCACCTGCCTCTTGCGCCATCCCCCCTACCCCCTCACACATACTGTGGATACAGCCCACAATTTGGGGGCGGGGGGAGAGAGGGAGAGAAACATCATATGCCTCGACCGGGATTCGAACTGTGGCCTCCTGGTTCATAGATCGATGCTCAACCACTGTGCCACACCGGTTGGGCAAATGTGTGTCCATCTTAAGGCCTTCACACTTGCTGTTCCCTCTGCCTGAAGTGTTCTCTTCCTAGATAGCTGCATAGATGACTCCTTCAACTTCTTCAAGTATTCAATCAAATATTACCTTCTTAGTTATGTGTCCCCTGATGTTCATATTTAAAATTGAAACACCCCCTTCTATTTCCTTGGCACTTTCATTGCCCCTTATCGTGCTCTATATTTTTTCCCATAGCACTTATCATCATCTTACAAACTGTTTAATGTACTCTTTGTTGTATTGTGTGTCTGGCCCCACTAGAAAATAACCTCCACAAGGACTCAGCTTTTTATCACTTATGCTCCTTGATGTCTCCCAATGCTTAGAAGAGTGACACTGAGGCACTTCCCAAGTATTTGTTAAATGATAGAATGAACATGAGTGAAAAAAAGCAAGATGTAAAATAATACATTCTTCGTGATATTCTATAAAGTCCCAAGACGAGAAAATGTTTTAAAATGTTGTTCGGGGAATGGTACACACAGTGTATGAATGCATATTAGTAAGGGAGTGGTAACATTTGGGACAATGGTTATATCTCAGGGTAAGGATAAGGGAGAAGAGATACAGATAATATTGATCATGTTCTATTTCCTAAGTTGGAGAGTTGGTTCATGGGTCTCTATTTTATCATGCTTCCTAACTTACATACAGGTTATATATATTCTCCTGTGTGTATCTAATATTTCACAGTTACAAAATGGTTGTGTTTTTTTAAATCCTCACCCGAGGATTTTTTTTTTCCTCATTGATTTTAAGAGAGAGGGAAAGACAGAGAGAAACACTGATGTGAGAGAAACACATCGATTGGTTGCCTCCTGCATGAGCCCTGACCAGAGTCC